CATTTCGTTCTCCACTCCTGCGTCCCCCAGGATTGTCAGACAAAATAACAGTAATTCAACGGGTGTTACGTTCTGGGGCTCAGTTACTTTCTCACCCAATTGCTCCAATATGTATCATCATCTCTGTGTTACCCAGGACAAAACAAAGACTCAGAGACTCTGGTGACCTCGTCTACACCACCACAGCTCCATGTGGTGGAGCAGCTCAGTTTGGCTCCAGAGATTGGTTCCTTTTACTGAGCCATCGTGCCTCTTTCTCTTGGGAGAAACAATTCCCTCCTGGGGTGGGAACTGCCTCTTAGCCAAATCTGCTCCTCTCCGGCACAGAGACCATGTTAGGTGAACAGAGCAACCATGGGAATATAGCGCCAGACCTTGGTTTCCCCTCACTCCAGGTCCTGGCGGGCCGCATTTGAAAAGGATCCAAATCTTTTCCTTACCATGGACGCATGTTGTCCACACACAGATGTCAGTCATCCTATTTAGTCCCCTCAGCCGTCCTGGGACAGGAGGAGCACTGTCCCCATTTTATAGACACTAAAACTAAGGCAAGAGGAGCCACTTTGCCCTGGACTGCATAGGTAGTAAATATGTGGCACAAGACCCGGAAACATAAGGCCCAGAGCCACAAAAACAACTAAAAAGACATAAAAACACCAAAGCAAATATTAAAATGAACTTTTTGAGCCATGAACAAAGATAGCAGGAAAGCACAGAGCATGGTATGGCTGCTCTCTGGGTCCAGTCTGGGGATCAAGTAGATTTATGGTTGGAGGAGTGGATCGACCTAAGGGTCCCCACAGCAGCCACCATGGGAAGCCCCACTCTCCCTGGAAGCCCCTCCCCCTAAAAGCCAGCTCCTCAGGTCCCATGAGAGGACCAGAATGGCCATCCCTGGGCAATTCACTCCACTCCCCTCCCAGTCCAATTAGAAATGAACACCTGCAGATACTCTGATATTTCTCATCAAAGGAAAATAATGTAATCCATAATGTATCTCCACTTGGTCCCAAACTTGCTTATTAAAAAAAAATGTACTTTTTGGAAGATGGAGAAAATGTAGCACAATTCCCCATGGAATCATCTCCGTTAGGTGTAATTTCAATGACTGAAAAATAGAATTAGATTCTGTTCCTAATTCTACTCGCCGTGTCTCTTGGCCCTGCATTAATAAGAGAGATGGAGGAGTAGCTCCTCCTGAGCCCTGAGCCACGTTTCCTTTCTGTCCCTCATTTCCTCATCCTTTGATTAGATTTTTAATCTTCTCTGCCCTTGAAGTTCCCCTGCTGCTCCCCGCCCTCCATCTCCTGGCCCCTGTGAGTGGGACCAGCGTCCTCAGCAGCCAGCTCTGTGAGCAGAGAAGCCCAGTAGGACTGCTGAGGCCTCCTGGGCGGAGACGTGGTATTTCCTCCCTCCAGCCACTACCCTGAGGCTGTTTGCACAGATACAGGGCCAAGGTGCTGCAGGAGGAGGAGCCCCAGCTCAGGTCAGAAGAGTCCAGGGACTTGTGACTTGAACAATTATTTCTAAGATGGCAATATGTAATCCATTAACTAGTGATTTCCTACTGCGCATTTTTTTATTCTGTAAACCTGTATAACTTGTACCCCTTCACTGTTTTTTTTTCTTTCTTTTCTTTTCTCCTTAAATAAAAATTAAAAAAAAAAAAAAAAAAGTCCAGGGAGAGACTGACTGCAACGCGTGACCTGAAGCTTCTTACCTGCTCCAAGACTGTGTTCTCAGCACTTGCACGATTTGGGAGGTAAAATGGGAAACATAAAGGAAGGTATTTTGCCTCCACAAGGAGATGTGATGAGTGTCAGGGAATGTCCTAGTTCTAGTGGAAGCAGTCGTAGGCTGGGAAGCAACAGTGACAAAGTCTTCAGTGCATATCGGATATTTAACAAATGGAACAATTAATTTCCAAAGCTCGGTAAGGGCTACATCAGAAGGCAAGGCTCTCAGCCTCTGTACCCAGCACGCATCACCCACCCCCACCCGTTAATGCTCCTACTTTATACATGGCACATGGCACACAGTACGTGGTCAGTTCAGGCCTGTCTGAGTGGACTGGCAGCAGTGAGCTTACGAGGAGAACCCTTGATTCTGTTACCATTCATGGGTACCAGGATGCCACACTTGGGGAAGAATATAGCATTTCTTAGCTGTGTTCCACAAAATGTCAACATCCTGTAGATTTTTCTCAGCATCCTTTTGAGGCTCATGGTCAAATCTATTTGAAGATGATAAAGTAAATAGTTATTCTGGCTATAGGACATCTCAAAAAGTCCAGGTTATTGTGTATTGTCACTCTATTAGGAGTGAGGGTATGCAGGATTTTTTTTTTTTTTTGGCATGGAAAACTGCCCATAATCCATCATCATCATCAGAGCAGTGTGGGCCAATAGAGCTTCCTGTGGAAACGGGATTATGCTGTATCTATCTAGCTACTACGGTAGCCACCAGCCGCACTGGCTGCTGAGCACTTGAAATGTGGCTAGTGACACTGAGGAAGTGAGTTTTTAAATCTTTATTTCATGGTAATGAACTCAGATTTAAATTTAAATAAGTGGCTTGGGGCTGCTGCACTGGTAACACAGATCTAGAGGAGCCCAGTCTGAGAAATACTTGATAGCATATTGGGCAGTGATCCAGGTTCAACTCCTGGCTCTCCCATATTCATACGGGACATTCATACGGGCCTGTTACACTGTTCTCTTGGTCTCAGTTTCCTCATCTGTAAACGAAGGGGTGGGACCCTGTTTGGTGAGCACCTACCAAGGTCCCTCCCTGCAACTCCCAAAACTCCACTGCACCACACTGCCTGGAAGCTCAGATCATCTTTTTACTATCTTAATGCTTTCTGTCCATAGGCCCTGCTTATTCTACAATGAGGATGCTTTCTTTGTCTCTCTGTCTCTGTCTCTGTCTCTCTCTCTCACTGGGTATTTAAAGCAGGGCCTCCCACATGTCAGGAAAGTGCTCTACACTCAGTTACACCCCAGCTCTTTTTTAAAATGCATAGTTTGAGATAGGGTCTCAAAGTCCACTAAATTGCCCAGGCTGCCCTCAAACTGACACTCTTTCTGTCTCAGCCTCTTGAGTATCTGGAATTATAGACATGCACAGATTATATTATTTATTTCTGCTCCAAGAGAAGCACCTAATACAGTACCTAGGACATAAGAGATGTCCAATAAATACCCATTGATCAACTGAGTGAGGGCCTGGCACGTTTTCATACATGCCCAGCTTTCTACCCCTCTTAGGACCAGGCTATTGAAAAAGGGTTGGGGCCAATTTTCTTTCTCCAAGTCCTGAGTCCCCAGATCCTTGGATCTAGGTTCCAGTTTGCCAATCCTTTATAATGGATCCCAAAGCAATCTTCTTCCCAGTGGCACACCCATGATTAGATTGGCCTTTCCTTTAAGGACACTGCTCAGGGGAGAGACCTTCAAGCTCCCTCCACAGATACCGCCTGAAGTCCAGGCTCCCTCAGCTGCTTCTCAAGGTCTTCTGTTCTCTTCCCTATTCTTTTCCCACCTTTAATAGCCACTCTAGGCGTCACCCTCCTCCTTCCTAGGCATGGCATGAGGCTTCCGGCTTTCTTCACTTACACAGGCTCTCTTCTCTCTTTATCTGAATCTTTTTCATTCTTTGAAACCCTGTCCAGGTCCCAAAGCCTTTCCTGGTACCCTGTACGCAGGCTCCCTCTTGAGTAGCCACTGCACCCATTTGACATCTAGCACAGACTGCCCATGACCATCTCATGTTGATGGCAGAATCTCTCTGGAGCCACTGTCCAGCTCTGGAATGAGTGCTGGACCTACAGTGAGAAAGTCCACATGGGATTTGGCCCCTGTTGCTTAAGTTGTATGACCTTGGGCAAATCACTTCATCTCTGAGTCTCAACTTCCTCAGCGATGAATCAGGGGATTTTGGCACCTCCACAAACACTGAGCAGTTGGGATAATTAAATAAGGTATATACAAACCATATAGAATTGAGATTCTGCTACCTTGTTACTTGGGTAGCACAGAGTAAATACTCAGGAAAATTGCTTTGAAGTGTGGGTGCAGGTGTCCAAGCAGATGCAAAAGTCTGGTCATGCAGATGGTTCTGACCTGTGACAAGGGACGAGGGCTTTTGCTCTGAATGCTATTGGTATCACTGGACAGAAGGAGGAGTTAAAAATGCAAATGGTTCTAAGAAGCCACAGAGTGGAGCCTAGATGGAAGACACTCTGCCTGTGTAATCCATGAAGAACTGCAGGGTAAGACCTGGGCGAGCACAGAGGCCAGGTCAGGTTCTGGTCATCTGTGTGTGCAATCATGGCCAGCACCTGGTGGGTGACTGGCTGTGCAGCTGCCACAGGGAGCACACAGATGCATGGGTTTACAGGGAGGAACTGGCTGAAATTAGCTAAATCTCGTAAACACTAAACTCATGCCACAAATTGAGAGTCGAGAAAACGCATTTCTAAACCATGTATTTGCAAAAATTGCTTATCAAGAGTTGACCTTGGACCCAGTTCCATCAGCAAAACCTGCTCTCCAGAGGAAGAAGCTCTTCAACCTATCAAGTACAAACGCATTCAATTTGATCTTCTCTCTCTCTCTCTCTCTCTGTAACAATGAGGCTGAAAACATGGGAATTGAGTTTGCAGATGTAAAATATTTTGGCAGTTGGCCAGTTTTCCTGTAACCTGGTTCCTTTCTGTTCTGCTTGTACCCAGTGAGTTCTAGTAAAGGGTGCTCATGCGCCATGCAGTTTTTATCTTTCACTGTTATACACATATATATAACACGTACATGCATGCACACACACACACACACACGGATAAATACCCAATGACACATGGGAATGCCTGAACCTGCTAGTTACCAGCTCCATGATCTGAGGGAGGCCTCCCTTTCCTGGTGCGGCTCCAGCTGGGCACATAGGGAGCCAGTCTCCAGAAATCAGTAAGGCCATCCTGTCCGGGGCGAGGGGAGACTTACATTCTGCTTTGGCACAGATGAGGCAGGCGGTGGTGCAGTTGAAGAAGTTCAGGATCCCAGCCACGGCCACGCTGATGTCTGTGTTGCTGGGGTGCAGGTTCAGGGTTGTGAATCTCTGGAACTGGAACTTGACAAACTCCTCTGGGGCCACTTTGAAATGAGGAACCTGGCAGAAGGAGCAAAAATGGGCACCAGGAAGAATCCAAATGACTGAGAAGAAAAGAGAGCACGGTGTGGGAGTGAGGCTGCAGAGTGTTCAGGACCCAGAGCACCTGGTACACGGCAGGAAGACATGATGGCGCTCTGACTACAGCCCGGATGGGACCCCTTTTGGCCACAGACCTGAGTGAAGGCAATACGGATCTCAGTGTCAGGTCTGTGGCCCTGAAACGGCACAAGAACGGGTGTTTATTCTCAGAGGAAGTGGCAGGTGCTAGCCACGGAGACAAACGGCCTTGAAAGCATTCTCCCTACATTGTTTTATTTGTAGTTCATAAATCAGAGCCGAGGTGGCAGGAAGAGAAAAACACTACCTTGGGGACCAAAAGAGGAGCCCCTCAGCCCAGCACAGGCAACAGGTGTGTAAAGCAGCTCCCAGAAAAGCTCCTGGGTGAATGCCAGGAGTGTGTCGGATGTGTGTGAGGGGAACCATTGAAGACGAGCATGCAGGGAGGGAAGCGAGGCAGCAGGAGAAGCCATCTAGAGCGCTGCGGATGCAGCCAGGTAAATAAACACCTGCTCCAGCTGCATTATGGCCATGTCAGCTTCCCTCGCCCTCTGTTTCCTGACGTTTCCAAGAGGCACTGCCCTGCCTTCTGCCGCTCTCCTCTGGGAAGAGATATTAACAGGCTGCTAGGGCTGCTGTACTGGCGGCTTAGGCTATTTGGTAGGTAATAAGAAAGTTAAAATGTAATAAGCTGCCATCCACCTTGATTTTATTCTGCCACTCTGAGAACAGGTAGTCAGCCAGGAGAAAGCCGAGGCACAGTACGATTTTTTACTGATAAACCAAGTAAGATGGAGGGCAGATGGCAAGAAGAACCGCCTGCCAGTGAGTCACTTGGCTTCTAGAGCAGATTATTAAGGAATGATTATGAAAGTTTTCTTTGTCTGGCCTGGCCTAGAGGTTATGCTGCCAGGAGCCTGGAAAGATGCTGTGATGGTTTCTGTAGGATTTTAGTTATGAATCCTTTTAAATTTGGGGGTGAAGCCAATCAGAGACCAGAGATTTTTTAAAATCAAGGTTGGAAGGGAGTAAAGATTTAGCAAAAACCAGGAAGAAAGATTATTGAATTCAACTAGGATTACAGCTTGAATCACTGACAGTGCTCCCACACTTTTTCCAGCAGGGACTACAAAGGGCAGAAAGAACCTGGCACGTTTTGAATGAGGACCCTAAAGACTGAAGTTCACCAGGCACAGTCATAAGGGGACCGTTTTGCTTTGCTTTGCTTTGTTTTTGCTTATTCTGTATCCCATGCAATCAATTCACAATTACTGAAAAAATGCACCTTGAAAGGAAAAGAGGTCACAAAAGGGAAAGATACAGGGCCAGGCCGGGCAGAGGCAGGCGGGCTGATTTCGTCTGTGGGGCTGATTTAGACACCTGAGCACCTCTGACCCTGGTTCTCCTTTGTAGATTCCATCAGCAGCTACCCCCAGAGAGCCTTGCCGGTTAGAACCCCCAACAGTGGGAGCCCTTGAAGATTCCTAAGAACCCGCCATGAGCTGGGGGAGGGGCCTTTTAGGAAAGTGAAGGACACATGGCTTTTGAAGTCTACAGACTTGGGATTTATCTCCAGGACAAACCACTTAGCCTGTCTACATATACTTCACTACAGTGAAGACAAGCACTGGTGCTTCTTAGAACTTTGAGGAGACAAAATGAGATCCCATGTGAGAAGGACGTTAGACGCACCAACTCCACACCTAACATGTTCTAAGTGCTCGGCAGTGCCTTTCCTCCTTTCCTTCCACTCCTCCATCCCCAACAGGAGTTCCCATAAAGCTCTGAGAGCTGGGTGTGCAGGGGAGAGTGGATGGGCTCCCTGAGAAGGGATGCTGGTGGGGAGTCTCCAGCACTGGGCCACTGGGAAAGCTTCTGGGGAAGTTAGCTGCTCTGCCAGCCCAGGCAGGGCTAGGTCAGTCCTCTTCTGCCAATTCTCTCTTTTGGCTAAAGATGAATTCATAATTGATTTGCAATTTTAAATGCATCCCAGGAAGTCATCATGGAGGTGCATAGGGGAGCACTGAGGCAGGAAGCAGCCAGCCACAAGGTGGCCGAGAGACGTAATAAGCGTTTAAAGGATGGACTCCTCGATGAGAACTCCATTGCTTTTCCCTGGAGCTGGGAGATCAGTGTAAGGGCAGTTCAGCCTCATAAAATATTAACAGAAATGCATAATCTGAACGAGAGGAAGAGTTGCTCTGGAAGGAACACGACCAGACAAGGCAGGAGCAACCGTCTGCCTGCTCCCTAGGTGGCCTGGCTGGCTGGTCTAGGGCACAGGGGCAAGTGTAGCAGAATGGGGTGACACTGCAAATTAAGGGCTCCATCTGTGGCCTGAAATGCCAACTAGGCAGGGCTAAGAGATCTGGCTGAGATGAAATAGCTAGTGAATCCCAAGAGGGAACCATTTTACAGTGGGTTTGGCAAGGAAGACAGTAAGGGATCGACAAGAAAGTACAATGTGGTGGGAGAGACAGAGGAGAAATAATGGGGACCCAAAGTCTTGGTGACTTCACTTGGTGAAGATCAGAGCCACAATAATGACATGCCAGAGACTTGAGGTGGTCTCTGGAGCCTGGAAAAGAAGATGCAAATTAAATATCAAAGCTAATATCCTGGGCTGAGGCCTGGGAGATGCTGGAAGGGACAGTGGTGGGACAGAAACTGCTTGGGAGCTTATGAAGCTTAAGAGTTGTCCTAAGCAATGAATCTGGCCCCTGGCAGGAATGCTCTGGAGATAACCAATGCAGTGAAGCAGGACCAACCTCGGGTCAGGGCCACAACGCACTAGAATATGCAGACACCAATTCTGAGAGCACAGTCATGAAAGAGGGAGGGTAAATATGCCGCCTGAAGCCACAGGGACTCACCAAGTCCTCTAGGGGGATGCAAAGTGATGCTTCTTTCCCATGTCTTCCCTCCTCAGCTCTGGACGTCACATACCTCAACCACCAAGCTCCATCTGCCCCATATAGACCTGACTAAAATGACCCTGGGACACAGATGAGCAAAGGAGCTAACTGTCCATGGTCTCCCAGGAACACAGCAACAGAAGCACAAATGGAATCCAGAAAGGACTAGAAAATTCCAACTTCTTCTCCTGGAAGAAGGTGGTGTGAGTGGACTTACAAAACAAGCTTTCAAACTTTATGTTTGCATAAAATGCAATGCCTTCCTCCAAACCCAGAGTCCCAGCGTATGAGCAGATCACCACAGAGCTGCCTATGGGGACAGAAGCCTGCAGCTCAGACCTCTGCCCTCTTGTCCCCCATTCAATCTCCCTCCCTGCCACCACCAAGAGGCCACTGGAGGTGCCACCACGGGCCCTAAGACTGTGATGAACTCAGCTAAGAGAACTCGTTATCGACATCTCCCGAGGCCCTCCATCCACATGACTTGACACAAAAGAGCTCAGACAAGACCACTTCTCATTTGTATCTCTACATTACCAACATTAGCACAGCATCCTCAGCAGGCCTTTCCAGCCCTTAGGAGCCCATGACGTCCAGGGCTCCGCCCTGCGGGTATTCTTCCAACCTGGTCCAGTACTCACCTCCTTTTCCCCACAGATGTTGCTGATGATGGAACTGGAGGCAGGGCTGGATGAAGGTCCCAGGACAGCAACTACTCCCTTGGGGAGGATCTGACACACTGCAGCCAGCAGGAAGGGCAGGAAAAGAAAGAAGGAATGGGTAAGATGGAGGCTCAGCCCTGCCAGGGCCCTGAGGCCTTGACTTATTTTTACCTGCTGCTCCTCACTTTCTCCCACCCTCACCCCTTCCAGCCCCTCCAAACCCAGTGTCTGCCCTTCTCCCCCTAGAGTACTGGGTTTGGGGACAGTTTTATTGTAGTTTATGGACAGTATTAAATGAGGAAACGACCCAGGTTATGACAACAAACAGCCACAGCCAATAGGGTGTGTAAATCGTCTGGGCTGTCACCAAAGGACAGAGGCTAATGGAGGAAGCCCGCAGCTTCCTCGCCAGTCTGGCCTGCAGTGGGGTGGGGCAGCCCGGACACCCTCGCTGCAGAGGGAGGGAGGACCCAGCTCCAGCTCCTCGAGCAGCTGCCCAGCCTTCCGTCTCCTACCACCTCCCAAGTAAAAAAAAAGATAATGGGGAGGAAGAAAGGCAGGCAAGTCAGGACAAAGGTGACAAGGATGATGCAGACAAAGAGGAGAAAGCAGGCTTAGATAAAGTCACATGGAACAGGAGGTAGAGAAGAGAGGCAGAAGATAAACAATGAGAGGCAGGGAGAGATTGCAGCTACAGAAAGCCCTCCTGTGCCTTACCCAGAGCCTGTGACAACCATTTCCTGGGTGTGTTAGGGACTGTCCTAACCACCCTCAGACCCAGGACGTTGCACTTCTTCACTGGGAAGGTGCCCTCCCTCCTCCGTTCTGTATCCTCTCACCTGTCAAGGGTCACCTGAGGCCTTCTCAGACCTCCAGGGTTCTAAGCTGGAATTCGCCCTGCCTGGAGCTCCCAAGGTCCTCAGTTTGTACTTTTACTCTGAAACACTTGTAAATGTGTCTGCTGGGTGCTTAGTTTTACCTCGATGTCAAACCCTTTCCAGCAATGAAGAGAGCCACATTTATCTCCTAACTACCACTTCTTATTTCCTGTCTTCCAATGTCTTCTAGACAGTAGGTGTCCAGTCGACATGTGTTGAATGAATGCACGAATGAATGGGACATGTGGCCAGAAAAGAAGGAACAAATCTAAGATTTTTAAGTGCTAGAGGCTGAAAAGGAAAGATGGGAGAAAAAAAGGGGAACACAAGGAGGGAGAACATAAGCTCATTTCTGCACATACTGTGGACCTAGAGCCAAGGCGCTGCTGCTCAGAATACACAAGGTTCCCAATTGCACAACACACCATCTGTGTCTGCAAAATCCAGGGGTAACTCCGTACACTTTCCCCTGCATTCACCTTAGGAGTCGGCAGAGTTGTTTTTCAGGTCAGAAAGTTGCATGTAAGCAATGCGTGGATTGAGAGGCAACTGCAAAGCCACACCTGCAGTTTGATAATTTCCCCTGCTGACAGTCCTAACCATTGTCCTGCAGGGTCAACTGACCACCTGAGTAGGACACAAATGGCAAGAAAGACGCCAATGCCAGAGTTCAAATTCCAGAATTGTGGTTTACCATATGAACTACGTGTCTGTGAGATCTTTTCCTAGCTGTGGCATGAGCAGGACCCCACCATATCCTAAATCTCAACTACCTAAAAGGCTGTGGGCAAAGGGCATCACAGAGGGTCCCATCAGTGATAAGTGTCAGAACCATTCCTGGGGCAGAGGTCATGATGCCCAGGCATCACCTCCAGAGAAGGTTCCACATGAGTCACCTATGATAGCAACAAGTTTAACTGTTTACTGTCTTTTAATTCTGTACCCTGTCGCCTCCCTGCAACAGCACTCTGGATTTTACTGTTACATCCCTCCTGATTTTACTAATAAACAAATAATTGCGTAGAAATATCAAGGGCCTCTCTTAGGTCACACAACTACTCAAGGTCAGAGCCAGCATTTGGGTTCCAGCCTCCAGACCTCCTCCAAGTTCAGCCCAGCCTCTCACACACTATTCTGTCTGCACAGCTTCCTGCAGCTCTCCCTGCAGCTCTCAGAGACACTCAGTCCCTTACTCGGTCTCCTTGGCCATCTCGCTCCACTGAATCTGCTCTGTCCAAGGTCACCATGACCAGCTACTGGTCCTCATCCAACTCAGCGCACAGCATTTGATGTTGCTGATTGTATTGTTCTTTTGAATCTCACAACACCACTCAGTCCTGACATGCATCCAATTCTCTGATCATATTTTTCTTTCCTGACTCTTCTTCCTTCTCCCACCTGCTAACTTCACGTTTTACAGAGTCCTCACTCTCTCCTGGGCGATCTCACCTTTGCTCATCTCTGCCCAGGTGACCCTGCACACTGACCCGTGTGTGGGGTTACAGAGTTGAGTTCCAACCAGCTGCCTGCCAGGTGTGGGCTCAGGGCTTCCCTCTGGCACGTGCAGTGGGCACTGTGGCCGTGTGCAGTGCAGTCTTTAAGAGACAGACTGATGCTGGGCTGCCTAGGTTTGAGCCTCAGCACCCTTCCTTGCTAATTGAGAGCTCGAACAAGCCCCTGAACCTCCCTGTGCCTGTTTACTCACCTGTAAAGCTAAGACACTGACAATACCTCTCTCATAGGGATGTGCAGAGTAAGATGGTCAATAGGGCAAGGGCTAAGAATCTTAGCTCACACGGTGTACACCCTTCTCACTCTCACACTGCATTGGGTTTGCTGGTTTTCATAATCTAATTTGACTTTACACTTCTATAAGGAAGATTCCATTTCACCCCCAATTGATGGGAGACCTGAGCCTTAGAAAACTGAAGTAACTTGTTCAAACTCACACCAGTAATATATGGTAGAACTGGGTTTGACCATGAAGACCTACCTGGCATCCAAACCCACACCCTTAACCACTGCACTTTACTCCTCTTAACTACTCAAGGTCAAAGCCCTGCTCACCTTGCCCCTCCTCCCCTTCCCTCACTCTATTCTTTCACTACTGAGCCAGAGCAAGATTCACACCCGTTCACTTCCCGCCCCTCCTTCCTGCTCCACTGCGCTGTCCGCCAGCCCCCTTTACACCTGTTTTACTAAGGAGTCTCACGCTGTCCCAGGATTCTCCACTCCCAGTCCTTTCTCCAACCTGGGAGGCAAATTTATACTCCTAAAATGCTGATCTGCATGTTTCTCTACCGCACAGAGCTTCTCAAATTGATCCTGGTATCCTCCTTCCCGAGCACAGGGCTCTACCCGAGTCATGTGCTCAGTAAGTCACCATGGAATCATGCCAAAGCCACACAACACCTCCCATAGAATACTGACGATGGAATAAATGTCTGACCCTCAGGGAACAGTTACATAGCATGTGGGTCATATGCCCAATCGGAGTATTATTTAGGCATTTAAAATGCTTCTGAGTCGTTTATAATAGCACTAACATTTATGTAACAGTACTAAGAAAATATAAAACTATGTGCGTATCTCTATGAAGGCTAAAACTAGGTGCATACAGGAAATAGCCATGCATTGAGGAATGATAGAAGATGCGATTAAAGCCAATATTTATCGAGTGATAATTACGGCCCATTTCAAGCACTTTACAGGAATTGACTTATTTAATTCTAAAAGCACGGTGATGAAATAGATACTGTTACGGTCATCCGCATTTCACAGACACAAAACAAGACGCAAAAGCTGAAAAACAGCGGAAGACTCAGCCACTCAAGCCCTGGCCTCAGGGCCCAGCCTTGCCACCCACAGCCTCCCACAAAGAGTGCCAATTATCTAAGGCTCCCAGAGCCTGTCTTGGCCCCTGGGATGCTGGGGGATTTCCTCCTCCTCCTCCTTCTTTCTTCTTTTTTCATTATTTTCAATAATGAGCATGTATTTTTTTATACAAGAAATATCAAGCCATAGCAAAAAGAAAAAAAAAAATCTTCTGATGGTGAGTAGACCCCAAGTGGGTTTGATCATCCCACAGCCCTGTCCTGCCCCCATTTTGTCCCACTGTGCCACCTCCCAGGTCACACTGGCTCACCTAGAACGTGCTTCCTATCTTCCTACCTGAGCGCATTGACTATATCTGCTGCCTGGGTCTGTGGTGACCCCAGAGTCAGGATTCTGAAAGCATTTTGGGGGGATTACATCATTATTTTCTCTAAGCCCCAGCTGAAAGGTAGAATCTCCTTACATCTTGAATACAGGAAATAAACTACAGTACATGAGCAGTATCCATCGCTTCATCATGAACAGAAATCAGATGCTTTGCCATCACATTACAGAGCTGTAGATATCTTGAAATGTCATTTATACTCTTTCTACTTCAGAATCAGTTTAGTAGTGAGGCCCAGTACTGGGTGTGGCTATTTAATATGTTGACAAAGAAGTGCAGGTATTTGTATAGTAATATTAAAATATTTCAGCTGCATTTCCATGTAATGGGCTTCCATGATCGTCTGATTTATTTTATATTATTCAATCTGAAACATTCCTGTAAGCAGGGGCCCATGATTATCTTCAGTACACCATGGTTTGGACCCTGTCTTGCACTTCTGCCTAGCAAACTGCTATGGATCACAGGTCAGCTTTCAAATCTAGGTGAGAAGGCATATCTTCTTTGAGTCAGCTGCCTTTAAAAGACGGAAATTTCCTTATTCTCTAATTTCCTAGTCAGCTACTACCCCAAACAAGTTCATGATGTTGGCCCTCAACAGAGGGAAGGTTCTCCTAAAAATGAATTCATACAAAAGGGTGTTTTTCATCAAGTTCATTTCATGGCAAAATGTCTAATAGACAGATGTTTAACTGTGTATTAAGCATATCTAATTCAAAAATCCAAAATCTGAAACACTCTGATATCTGAACTTTTTTTTAGCATTGATATAATGCTCAAAATGTTTGGGATTTTGGAGCTTTTTGAATTTTAGATTTTTGTATAAGTGTTCAACCAGTAAAATATATGCAAATATTTAAAAAAAACCCTCAGAAATTGAAAACATACTTCTTGACCTAAGCATTTCAGATAAATGATAACCAATCTGTACAATGTGTAAATATTGGATGTAGGTGTGCTTATTTGAGATATTATTTAG